GTTTAAGCCAGCGGTGGGCAGCCCTGTTGACAAAGGATGCCAAGGTGGCCGCTCTAATTGCCCAAGCAGTCGCCTGGTGAGTCTTACGAAAGGCTAACTCACACTTACGGTCGTCCGCCTTGAGGGCATCAGAAACATCCCCAGCTATAGCGGTAGGGGAAACTAAGGGTCCAAAAGGTTCATCCACAGCAGGCACCTCTAGAGCCTCCTCCAAGTCTTTGGCCACGTTGTACAGCTTTTTGTCCGTGGCACTTGGGAGAGGGAGGGAGGCCGGAGCCGCCCATTGTTTCCTGACAGCGGTCAGAAACATGGGGGGACAAGGAATCCGGTGTTGTGTTGCTACCGGCTCAGTAAAGTTCAGATCGAATTCTGAGTCAGGTGAAACCGTGACCGTTGACGAGGAAGGTTCAGCACCGGGTTGTGCTGTGGATGAGACCTTGCGGAGTAAGGTCACAAAGGAGGAAGGGTTAAACATACCACTAAATGGAGGAGCCTGAGTAGAGGATTCCTCCTCATCAAACATAGGGTACTCCTGCTCGTTGTCCTGGCCCTGAAGTGACAATCCCTCGGAATATGAAGATCCAGAAGGTGAGGAGGGGGCATACTGAGTCTCCGGCCCTTGATCAAGCATGGGCAGATGATCCCTACTTATGGGTCTAGGAGGTACGGCCCTTGCGTCAAGTGCGCGGTCAACCGCCTGCGCAATTAATAGGGCCAGTCGATCCTCCGAAGGGAAGGAAGGCGGCTCAGTTGGCCAAAGCCCAGCTGCCGTGGGGGTAAAGGTAGCTTCTGGAGTCCCATGGTGTGATGGTTGGGGCATGTGGACATAAGACAGACCCTCAGTTGGGGGATTATCTATTCTAGCAATTTTTTGCGCCCTAGAGAATTCTTTTTCTAAGGCTTGGTGTCTCCTGTTAGCCTGTTTCTCTGCCCTCTTGGAGGTTTTACTAGTGGACCTGACCTTATTTTTGGATGAGGTCTTGTCAGATTCCTCCATAGGAAGTTGGACAGAAGTTGCGGGAACCGCTGAAGAGGGAACAATACCCCTAGAGGGAGGGCCAGTAGCCTCCATTCTCCGATAACACAGGGACTCGTGGGGACCCCCCGGTATCAAGAGAAAATTAGTCAACGGGAAGGACAGGCGCACTATAGGGTACGTCTGGAAACCCGGACACAACAAGAGCAGCTGGCTTTCTTATGCGGACAGGACAGACACACAGCCGGGTATGCCTGGAATCCGCTCTGCTCAAAGAGGATAATATAAGGTGCTCTGTGGGACCACCTTGTATCCTGAGGCCCAAAGGTAGGAGCACAGCAAGGTGCTCCCCCGCGCCCAAACGACAATGAGGCCTAAATTACAGCAAGAGACACCAAGACCGAGAAGGAGAATGTCCAAATAGTATGATTAAACCAGACCACTGGTATTGTAAATGTAATTTAGAAATCTATTACTGTTAAGGCCAGGTCTGAACTCCCAGGCCTATGTGAGGGAATCTTCACCCGACCCTAAAATGGCGGCCAGAGCCTAAAATGGTGTCCTGACTGAAAGAAGATGGCCCCAAACCGTAACTTGACCCGCCACTGGGAGACAACAAGGCCTCGCTGAGGGCCTTCACTATGCAAATCAAAACAGCTTGTCAAAGATGGCGGCTGCGCCCAAATGGCTAATCCAAGTACTGTAGGTATCGGTAAGCCTAGGTCGTCCCTCAAACTGTCAATCAAATCCTAATGGAGCAAAGAAACGGAAAACAAAAAGGAGAAGGAATTCCTCTCCCCGAATTTCCCCCCCGCCACACGCCCCGGGCCGATCGTTTCGCAACCGCGCATTACAAAATGGCAGCTGCGCATTTCAAAATGGTGGCCGCGCGCGCAAATAACGGTCGGATTCGGCCCGAGGACTGAGGGAAATGGCCCGAAAGAGAAAAACGCGCTGCGAGCGCTCCGACAAATCAAAAAAATCGACCGCTTTTCGCGTCTCTGATCAGCCGCTTGAGCGCTGATCGGAGAGCCGTGTGGGGTGCGCGCACGCCCGGTCAGCTTGTATTTTGGGGAATCGAGGGGCCATAAGCAGCCGAATTAAATGGCTGCTCTTCCAGCGTTTAAGGGAAGGGATCGGTTTGCCGATCGCCGCAGCCGCGAGCTCCAAAGGATTCTCGGGTCTAACAGCCGTTAGACCAACAGAAACTCAGTCGCCTTGTTTTAAAGCTCCTGGAGGGAGGGGAGAGAGAAGGGCCCCCCTTCTATCTCCCTATAATTATTTCCCCCCCCTACACGACAGAGCTGAAAAACGGTAACTGAGGATCTTTGAAATCCTTTGTAAACTGAATAATTTGGTAAGGAAGACCGAATTAATTAACAATTATCAAAAAGTGGGAAGTAGAGATGGAAGATTCACAGATAGTCTAGACTGTACCTAAGAGCCAGAGTTGTACGTTCTGTCCATGGGCAAGATCAAATCAAGACTGGGATCTAGAGCCCAGGACGGGGCGTGACAACTTTGGCTGACTTGATCTGATTGGGCAGGAATACAGTCTCAACCCATTCTGTGGATCCTCCATCTCCAGTGCTGGAGAAAGGTTCAGTGCCCCAACTGGAAGTTGCTTAAGAGAAAGAAGTACTGCAAGACTCAGCACCTCATTCCCAATGCTCTAATCCTGTTAAATACCATCAAAGGCTGCTGAAAGATCAGGGTAGGAAATTAGGGTATGACTCACTGAGAACTAGGTATAAACCCTCCTACCTGTGGCCTTTAGTTGCCTATCTAGAAGTAGTTTGAATTCAGAGGATTTTCAAGTCAAGAGAAAGTACTGAAGCAGTTGGAAAATATTGATGAACAAACAGAACTTCATCTTGCTTGGGTTCAGTTTCTCTGTTTGATCCAATACTACTACTACTACTACTACTACTACTACTACTACTACTACTACTACTAATAATAATAATAATAATAATAATAATAATAATAATAATAATAATAATAAATAAAAATAAAAATAATAATAAAAGGTTGGAAGGGACCTTGGAGGTCATCTAGTCCAACCCCCTGCTCAGGCAGGGAAACCTATACCATTTCAGACAAATGGCTGTCCAGTCTCTTTTTAAAAACTTCCAGCATTCACCGCTTTTGGAGGCAGGTTGTTCCACTGGTTAATTGTTCTAACTGTCAGGAAGTTTCTCCTTAGTTCTAGGTCTTAATAGCGTTCAGGAACTAGGACATGACTTCCACAGCATCACCTATCATAGCCCAAGGTAGCCCAAGCTGAGTATCATCAGTATAATAATGATACTACATCCCAGATTGACTTGCCCAATGGCTTCATGCAGATGTTAAGTAGCTGGAGAAAAATGTAAATTCTGCAATATCCTACATATAAGGGACTATTGAGCCAGACTCTTCTTACTTGTTACCGTTGTCTGGAGAAGCCACTGAAACAGCATGTCCAAGAATGATATTTGATCATATTCAGAACTGTTGACAGATTTAATGGGGACAGAAGGGGTGCTTTAGGTCATATCTACGTCCCAAGAAAGCTGATCTGCTAGCATAACCATAGATGTTTTCATCTTATGCCCAAGCCTATACCCTAAGTAAAAAAGTCTTAGATAATTCACTTCTTCCAGGGCGCTCTATAATTGAATTCCTTCTTAATCTTCCCTAAATTTAATTCAACCTAGTGGTGTGCAGTATTTGAAGTAGTAGGGGTGCTTTGCATTTAGAGTTAGGTATCCTCTCTAGCTTTCAGATGCTCCTTTAAAAGACACCCTTGCATGGCCATTGCATTTTTTGAGCTTTCAGAGCTACCATGGGAGTCCAGAAGAAAGCACAAGGCACAGTTGACAAAAAGATCATATTAGTGACGGATCAGAAGAATCCTTGCCTGTTTTGCATCTAAATACCGGTACTATACACCATTAATTAACTTCAGTCATTCACTTTTCTGCATGTATTCATTAATTCTCCTCCATGAGATTCACATTGTTTTCATTCAGATCTATTATATCGTTCCCTTCTCTTAGTTTCACAAATAAAATATTTTCCATTAATTCATACAGATCACCATTTACTCTTGTTGAATTCCAAGTTGTGATCTTCCAAATGTCATGGTCATGAGCGCCTCAGTATTGATTTCTACTACCTATCATACTTTTGGTCAATTGACGTTTCCCATAATATAGAGGTGGGCAATTACTTTTCCCAAGGGACCACATGCAGATGCGACTGTTGTGGAGGATGAAACCAATAGGGCAGTGATGGCGAACCTTTTAGAGACCGAGTGCCCAAACTGCAACCCAAAACCCACTTATGCATCGTCGGGTGCCGGGTGGGTGTGGCACATTGGGTGGGTGTGGCACATTGGGTGGGCGTGGCTGCGGTGGTAACAGCAGACTGGGTGGGACTAAAAAGTTCAATCAATCAATTCCAACTTTGCAAGATCTTTTTTTTCCCGTGAGAAGTTGAAATTGACTGATTGATTGAACCTTTTTTTTTGCACATGGCGGCGGAGGCCTAAAGTGAAAAGGTTTTATAAAACCCAGCTGCAGGCCTAGGACTGGGGCGATGGCACGCGTGCCCACAGAGAGGGCTCTGAGTGCCGCCTCTGGCACCCGTGTCATAGGTTCGCCACCCCTGCAATAGGGTCACTGCCACATTCCCTTTAGGCTTTCTGTCTTAAAGAGTTTTATCATTTTTCTATCTATTGTGAATTAAGATACAGAATACAGCCAGATTGCCAAACTTATAAGCAATAGAAATGCAGGTTGATGGTTTATGTAGTTTAATTGGTTTAACAATGGTACTTAGTTTACATGCTACTATTTCCAACAGTTAATTGAAAGCTTGTAAGAGATACATCCCAAAATTAAGATAGGACATATAATGAAGGACTTCTGTCAGAAAATAATGAAGATACACAATTGCAACGAATTAAAGTAATGATTACATTCCAGTATATACTTAAATACTCATTCATTTATCTTTATTTTTCTTTTACAGATCTTTGAATATCTTCATTTTTTTCTCTGCTGATCTTATTACTCCCTTAAGTTATTACATACTTTTTGCTGCTCTGTGAGAAGAGATGTCTCGCAGCCCAGATGCAAAGGAAGACCCTGTCGAATGCCCCCTTTGCATGGAGCCTCTGGAGATTGATGACATAAACTTCTTCCCTTGCACCTGTGGTTACCAGATCTGTCGCTTCTGTTGGCATCGTATTCGCACAGATGAGAATGGACTTTGTCCTGCATGTAGAAAGGTATCTGTTTTAAGTTCATCACAGATATTTTGTTTTATAATACAATTTCAGAATGAAACATTGCTTCAATCTAATGTAAATTTCTTCCTAAAAAAATTGGGGATGGATAAAGGGTAAACAAAGAAAAAAATATGATTGCTTTATATAAATGTAAAGTTATCTCATAATGTAATTTGTGGCTAATGCAATATTTCCGTTGATGTATAGATAGTCCTTGACTTATGATTGTTCATTTAACAATTATCTAGAAGTGCAATGGTCTTGGAAAGAATGATTTAAGGCCTGCAAAGCACTTCTGGCCATCACAAAACACTGCACCACCATCCCTATAGTCATCTGATTACTGTTTGGGTATTTGGCGACCTGTTCATACTTACAGCTGGTTGCCAAAGGTTCCATGATCATGTGATCACTATTTGCAAACTTCTCTGCTGTCTTTCCCAGAAAGTCAAGAGGAAGCCAGCAGGGAACATTGCAAGGTGCTGTCACTTGCTGAGAAAACTCTCATCTCTGAGGTCTGGCTAAAAGAACTGTCTCTCGAGGAGAGCTGAATTCCTTTGGTGGACTGTAGAAATACTGAACATTTCAGTTCCATTTCTACACAGCACCAAAGGTGTTCCTTTCCATTCATGGAGGGAAGCTGAACTCCTTTGGCAGGGCAGCTCTTTTAGCCAGCCCCCAGAGACAAGAAGGAGCCAAAATCCGAGCAGAGAGTCAGCCAGTAAGGTAAGGAGCATGGGATACCTCAGGTAGGGGGGGGCTGGTCCAAACTATGCACCAAATGTCTCTTTGCTCAGGGGTTGAAAATTATATTTGGATTTCATCAGGGAGAATTTTCAGCTTCTGCGCATGGCTTCCCAGTATCTCCCCCACCTCACTGAACTATCTTGTGCTCCTTACCTGTAACAACCTGTGTGATTGCTTAACAACCACACCTGGGAACGCAAGTATTGTAATTGTTGAGAGAAACAGTCACATGGGCACTCAAACGACGTCTTACATAATTACTACTTTGCTCAGAAACTATGATTCTGGTCCCAATTGTGATTATAAGTTGAAGACTACTTGTAAAGTGGCAAACATTGTCCTTGATTGTAAATAGTTCCTCTGTCCTATGCAAGTTGATGGCTATATATTACTTTATACAGTGAAGGGAAAAAATATTTGATCCCCTGCTGATTTTGTATGTTTGCCCACTGACAAAGAAATGATCAGTCTATAATGTTAATGGTAGGTTTATTTTAACAGTGAGAGACAGAAGAACAACAAAAAAATCCAGAAAAACACATTTCAAAAAAGTTGTAAATTGATTTGCATTTTGATGAGTGAAATAAGTATTTGATTCTCTATCAATCAGCCAGATTTCTGACTCCCAGGTGTCTTTTATAGAGGTAGCAAGCTGAGATTAGGAGCACTCTCTTAAAGGGAGTGCTCCTAATCTCAGCTTGTTACCTGTATAAAAGACACCTATCCACAGAAGCAATCAATCAGATTCCAAACTCTCCACCATGGCCAAGACCAAAGAGCTGTCCAAGGATGTCAGGGACAAGATTGTAGACCTACACAAGGCTGGAATGGGCTACAAGACTATCGCCAAGCAGCTTGGTGAGAAGGTGACAACAGTTGGTGCAATTATTTGCAAATGGAAGAAATACAAAATAACTGTCAATCTCCCTCATTCTGGGGCTCCATGCAAGATCTCACCTCGTGGAGTTTCAATGATCATGAGAACGGTGAGGAATCAGCCCACAGCTACACAGGATGACCTTGTCAATGATCTCAAAGCAGCTGGGACCATAGTCCCCAAGAAAACAATTGGTAACACACTGCACTGTGAAGGACTGAAATTCTGCAGTGCCCACAAGGTTGCCCTGCTCAAGAAAGCAGATGTACAGGCCCATCTGAAATTTGACAATGAACATCTGAATGATTCAGAGGAGAATTGGGTGAAAGTGTTGTGGTCAGCTGAGACCACAATCGAGCTCTTTGGCATCAACTCAACTCGCTGTGTTTGGAGGAGGAGGAATGCTGCCTATGACCTCAAGAACACCATCCCCACAATCAAACATGGAGGTGGAAACATGCTTTGGGGTTGTTTTTCTGCTAAGGGGGCAGGACTACTTCACCACATTAAAGGGATGATGGACGGGGCCATGTACCATCAAATCTTGGGTGAGAACTTCCTTCCCTCAGCCAGGGCATTGAAAATGGATCGTGGATAGGTATTCCAGCATGGCAATGACCCAAAATACACAGCCAAGGCAACAAAGGAGTGGCTCAAGAAGAAGCACATTAAGGTCCTGGAGTGGCCTAGCCAGTCTCCAGACCTTAATTCCATAGAAAATCTGTGGAGGGAGCTGAAGGTTTGAGCTGTCAAACGTCAGCCTCAAAACCTTAATGACTTGGAGAGGATCTGCAAAGAGAAGTGGGACAAAATCCTTCCTGAGATGTGCGAAACCTGGTGGCCAACTACAAGAAACGTCTGACCTCTGTGATTGCCAACAAGGATTTTGCCACCAAGTATTAAGTCAGGTTTTACAAAGGGGTCAAATACTTATTTCACTCATTAAAATGCAAATCAATTTATAACTTTTTTGAAATGCGTTTTTCTGGATTTTTGTTGTTGTTCTGTCTCTCACTGTTAAAATAAACCTACCATTAAAATTATAGACTGATCATTTCTTTGTCAGTGGGCAAACGTACAAAATCAGCAGGGGATCAAATACTTTTTTCCCTCACTGTATATTTGATCACTTTTTTGTTTTGTTGTGATTATTTTGAACTGAAATAGTATGTTCTGCCATGTTGCTTATGTCATCAGGAATGCATATCATATTTTTCTTTATGACGTATTTCATGAAACCTTGAAACAAAGTACATAGTCTTCTGCTTCCTATACTTCAAAAATCATCTAGATGAAGGCCTTTATTCTGGCAAGCTCCCCAAAGCTTGGGAAATACTACCTCTGTTTGCCAACAGTGCATAACATTACACTGAGTATAGAAAGCACTGAAGTGGACTTTTGAATCCACTTCATATTATTATAATATAATATAATCCACGTATATTATTCTGTCTACTGTTTAAGGAAAGGATGTTGATTAGTTCCACTGCTGTCACAGCATGAATTAAATGGTCTAACATACTGGAAATTTGTAGTTTCAAGAGTACTGGGACTCTTTTCAATAATAAAATATTATTATTTAAACTACTGTAGTTCATTCTTATCATTTTAAAGTAATAATTTTCTCAAGGAAAAACAATTTTTCAGATGTAACACAGATGTTCATGAAATATTTGCTGTGGTTGTTTTGTTTCTTGTTAGAATGCCACAGAGTTTAGTCTCTTGCAAGCAAAAAGTACAAAACAATTTTATTTCCCGAAACCACCTACACTTGACAGTTCTCTTATTTTTGAAATTCACTGGTCAACAGCATAATAAACTTTATTTATTTAATGTCTTATCATTGATTGTAACAATACAGTTTCCTCTTAACTTCCTGAATCAGTTTATGCTTCTTAAATCATTGGTGGCTTCATTCTTCTTTCAAAAAACCGTGTTATGAAGCAACAAATGATTGAATAAATTAATTGTGGCATACATTTTGCATATAAGATTCTATTTTATTGGGTACATTGATTCACGAAATGTTACGACTGATGCAACAGATAATGCTATTCTTTAGTGAGGAGCTCCAATACTGTACATCTGCATTTTGTATAAAGCAATAAAGTAGTGAATCCTCTCATTTATTCCTAACAGAATCTCCAACTAGGATTTGGGGTGGAGGTGGGGTTGAATGATTCCTTGACCAGGTCACTTTGAATAAGGATCTTGAAAAGCCACTGAGATTAACATCCTTGTGAAATTATTCCTGTTTTTCCTTTCTGAAAACTGTTAGTTCAGATAGCTTCCATGTTTTAGTGATGCTGCAATATTTAGTAGCTTTTCCTTAAATGTGTATCTTTTTCAAAATGTAATAATTTAGCTAATAACTATTTGGTCCATTTACTTTGAGTGCTTCTGATGACAGAGCTGTTTATACTTGACAATGAGTCACTTTTCATATATGACTAATAGATAAAGAAGGCTAAATGTTGTGTTTCATGAGATTGATGCAGTGCCATCTTTCTTTAAATACTACAATATATAACTGCAAATTAGCAAGCATTTTGGCAAGGACCACTTGGGATGATATCCCTTGCTTTGTTGCACTTATCACTTGTGTTTCTGCCACCACTGATTGAATTTTTTCAAGTTAAATTATTTGATTAGAATGTCAATTACTACTTGCTCTAGGCAAACAAGAGTGCTCTACGGGTTTTTTGAAAAGCTAATTTAATATACTCGGTAATCTTAATTCCCAGTGAATACATTGATAAATAATTTTCTTGCAATAGTATAGAAATGGTTAGCTATTTTCTATTTAGAGATTGTCTTCAGATTCCTAGTTTATACATCTAACATTCCTTAGAAATCTCCGATACTAATTAAGTTTGACTCTTTCTGGCTTTTTAGTATAGGCATGGTTGCTAAGTGTTACCTTTGTAGCATTTAAATTACTTATTAACACATTTAGAAATAAGCATGTTGTTTTGTGCATCTTATAGATCTTGAGGGTGAAGGTTCGTTCTCCGAGCTTGTGGGTTGGTTTCCGAATGTTTCGTTACCAGGCTAGGTAACATCTTCAGCAGAGTTTAGGGGATGTCAGTGTCAATGTTCTGTTTATAAGGGCTTTAGGTGTGTGTGTGACAAGTGAAGGTCTTGTGATGGATCAGGTCATTGTAGATAATAATAATAATAATAATAATAATAATAATAATAATAATAATAATAATAATAATAATAATAATAATAATAGTAAAGTTGGAAGGGACCTTGAAGGTCATCTAGTCCAACCCCCTGCTCAGGCAGGAAACCCTATACCATTTCGGACAAATGGCTGTCCAGTCTCTTCTTAAAAACTTCCAGTGTTGGAGCATTCA